TAATGAAAAATGTATACCTTTATTAGTATACAAATGTAAAAATAGATATAAATATGGCTATAGCTTAATAGGTAAAGCTTTTCTTTATAATTATTAAATGATTAAGAGTTCAAACCTTATCTTGGACATTAAATACATTATATATATCTATTATTATTATTATTTAAAAAAAAAAATAGAAAACCGATCAATTTTTTTATTCAGTTCGGGTAAAACCCGAACGGAATCGATCGATTCCTCAAACCAAGTACCGATCGATATTTTGGTTTGAGACTGAACCGAACCGGTTCCGTTCGATTCAGTTCAGTTCGAGTAACCCGAACCGAAATGCCCAGCCCTAGTCCTAGGTACATTTTTCAAGAAAAATCTCCCAAAAAGTCAAGACAAAACTTGCAAAATAAAAAGAAAAAAAAAAACAAACACCAGAGAAATGTAAAAGCGCATTACACACTAGTCATAATAGACATTTAAATTTGTTCCAACCAACAGACATTCAAATAGGTCGATAAATACCTCCATTCAAAATTGAATGAGGTACTTGTTAATTTACAAATGCTAAGAGAGAAATCAAAGCTTACAAACAATTAAACGCATGACTAATGAAAGAGAAGTCTCAAGAGCTACAAATTCAAGATCAAGCTCAAGGCTTTGGCATTTGTCGAGAAGATCACTAGCCAAGTATACATCAAGTTGGAGCAAGTATACATCAAGTTGGAGAGTCAACGACTTTATGTGATCAACCAACAATCTCTATTTGGAGAAATAGAAAGTGTGGAGTAACAAGTAGTTTAGTCTTGTGAAAAATCTGAGACTTAGACCGATTTTGTGATCAAGGCTCAAGTTCTCTTCATTATACTAAGGGTGTGTTTGGTTGGTTGGTTTTGCCCATAGAAATAGGTATGAAAGTGACTGTTGTTGTTTGGTTGATAGGTTTTTAGAGGTAATTTATATCATGCACCAGGGCGCACATTGCATTGTGCACCCTGATGCAAACGACATCGTTTCAATTTTTTTTTTTTTTTTTTTTTTTTTTTTTTGAAATTTCGCTACCCGCGGTTAATTTTCTTTTAAAAAATTCTCATGTTAAAAAATGTACATAATTTTATATTAGAATATACATAATTGTATACATGAATGTACATAATTGTATAACAAAATGCACATCTTTTTTTTAAAAGATAATACATATAATCTAACATAATACATAATATACATAAACTTTTAACATAATAAACATCAACTCTTAACATAATACACATAAATTTCCTATTTCGGATGTACATAATTGTATAAAAAAATGTACATAATTGTATAAATAAATACACATAATTGTATAAATAAATACACATAATTTATAAACAAATACACATAATCACGTCAACTTCCTACATAACTTCCAAAACGACGTCGTTTTGGGAGGCGGGGCGCACAGTGCTATGCGCTATGCGCCGTGGTACAGGGTATAACAATTGGTTTTTTGAACACTACTATGGGTTTCGAATATCTCATCAATTGAAAAACCCATACCCAAATAAAATAAGGGTTTCATTCCCTTATTCATTTTCAAGCAGTACTATTAGTAATCATTCTCATTCTACCCTACTACCAAACATGTTAAATACTTTCACCAAAACCCATTACTATTACCCATTCCAATTTGTATTTGATACACATTCCAATTTTGATTCCTATGTGCGAACCAAACACACCCTAAGTGATAATAGTGAAATCCTCCTAAGAATTTTTAGGAGAAAAGTAGAATACGCTAAGGGGGGTGTATTCAATCAAGACTTTTAAAGAGTTTCAAAGACTTTTAAAGTGATGGATTTTAAATGACTTTTGTAGAGATTTTGTAGACTTTCCTAGAATCTTTTAAACTTTCATCAACTTTGTAAGAGTCTTTAAAAATCTATAAGACAAACATTTATAGATTTTTAAAAACTTTTTCATATTAAAAAGTCTACAAAAGTCATTAAAATTCTAAATTGAATACACCCTTACAAACATTCCATAACTTCTACTAATACATTATTTATAATTTTCGTACAAAAATATATTTATATAAATCATAAATAAATTAATGCATTGCAAAAAAATAAAAAATAAATATTGGTTGTCACAAAAATAGATTATATTATACATAAAGAAAATAGATTAATCAATTAATATAATCTATTTTCACTAAATATAACCAATAAAAATATTTCTTGAACTAATGAAACAACTAATATTGAGTAATATAATTATCAAAATGTCTAAAATGAAAAAGTACAAATTAAAATATTCATATTGTTAGTACAATTATCTTTGATTGGAATTATTTTCACCTTGTTGGGTGTCTCTCCACATATCCAAAGCTATTTTAGCCCTCCATTCATTGGCATGCTCTCGTTGTTGCTCTTGAGTTTCAAACAGATGTTCAAAATTATCTACATCATTCGTCGGTAAAGGTGAATGAGATTCATCATCATTTAGCTCAATTGGAAACCCATCACTACGACACTCCTTGCGAAGAAAATTATGAAGCCTTGCACAAGCTAGTACAAGTTCTGCATGAGTCTTATAAGGGAATGGAGGTGCTGACTTGAAGATCGTAAATCTCGATTTGAATATAGCAAATATCCTCTCAATTACATTCCTCAAAGAAGAATGTCGTAGATTGAATAACTCAACATCATTTTCAGGGTCACGACCTTGTCCGAAAAAATCTTGGAGATGATAACGTACACCTCGATATGGAGCTAAAAACTGCTGTTGTTTGGAAATCCACAATCCACTAAAAAGTATTTACCTACACACATTTAAAATATTAATTATCCAATATGTAAAGTTATTTAATATTATTTAAAAAAAAAAAAAAAAAAACTAAACTAAACTGACCTTGTGGCACTTTAAGGTCATTCCTCCTTGATAAACTGTCACTTAGCAATTTTGAATCATGTGCTGAACCCTCCCACCCGCTAAGAACATATATGAATTCTAAATCAAAGTTACAAGCAGCCAATACATTTTGTGAAATTATTCCATGACGATTACGATAACTGCTTACATCACGCCCAGTTACCGTTGCTGGAATATGTGTGCCATCAATAGCTCCAACACAATCCTAAAGTAAATTCAACACATAAATATAATTTCATATTCACATTTATAAGAATATCTATGACACGCATAAAAAACAGAACAATAATTAATCAAATAGAGTGATTTATTGCTTACCTTAAAGTATGGGTAAAACCTTGTACTTTCTCTTATTCATGTAGGCACTGTGAAACTAGGTTTGACCATCATCTCATGTGCTATTGTGTTAAGAGCCTTTAAAACTTTGTTAAAGTTCTTACTTGTAGCAAAGTGTGACCGATAAAATATTTCACGAGTATGGCAATATCTAGAGTTCTGGCCAACTGTTAGTAAAAACTAGTACTCCACCCGTGCGATGCACGGACAAAGTGTGTGTGTGTGTGTGTGTGTGTGTGTGTATATATATATATATATATATATATATATATATATACAATTATTTTAATTGGAGTTTATATTTTTATGATAAGTTTGAAACATAAAAGAGCTCAAAGCATCATGTATGTTGAAAAATGTTGGTGTTAATAGGTGTGTAAAATCATGAGATTGCATATGCATTTTCTCAGTAATTTTCATTGAACAAACTAAACATTTTTTTTTTATCAATATCTATGCAACAAAGAATTAATAATATACAAACTTTATAAATTATTAAACACCTCTTTATATACAATATTTGACGTTGAAGAAACATACTCTCCATTGTCGTTACAAATAAGTAATTTAAGACCATTCAGATCGTTAACTCTAGAAAAAGCTACATACGGTTTGTCCATGAACAAAAAATTGATTTTCGTTTATGTTTATAACAAAATAACCAATATCATCATACGTGCCACCCGTGCGTTGCACAGTATGAAAATGATCAATTGATTAAATATATAGTATTGAATAATGAATTAAAAATATATAATATTTAACCAAGCGTATGAATATATTATTCAATGAAATTTCTCTCTTTTTCTTTGAAAGCATTAAACGGATTGTGCAAAATATAATTAAATCTGTTTTTAAAAAATTGTTATTGAAGTTGTAATAAAAAAGTATAGAATGAAGCACTATTCTTCAAAATGCATTGCGAGATGTATTTTTTTAGTAATTATAAAATGGTTATTTATATTTAACATGACAACGTACGATCAACACATTTTAAAGGCCTATTTTATTAGATATTACATGATATTTAAAAAGTTTTAAATTTAAATAAATAAAATGTACGTATAAAATGAAAACAACACCTAAACTACATTATTATATAAGTTAATAAATAGTATTTTGTACCGGCAACAAAGAGATATTCATTCAACTCAGGTAGATCAAAAAAAAAAAAAAAAAAAATTCACTAAGATCTATTTACATATCTAAATTACAAATTACTAAAGACTTCCTTGAAAATAACATTTGTAGTTGAAGAACAATATTCTCCCTTCTCATCGCACATTAAGATTTTAAAACTCTCAATGTAGCCACATATAATTAACTATGTACAAATAATAAATTCAATATAAAACATATACAAAAAAATTACATAATTAAATTTATATATTGCGATGCACAAATATAACATATTATAAAGTTCATGTAATAAGAAATTAGTACAACATAAATACGATCAATGATATAAGAATATACTATACAATTATTAAGTGATACTGTATATGATTATTAACAAAAAAAATGTGATTGCATGTAAATTCTTTTTTTTTTTTTGCCAAATAATAAATTGACCATAGTATGATAATATTTTTTCCAGAAATATTATCATATCATACACAAACATGATATATGTACATCAATCTATACATAAAATATAAAATAGTACAAAAATGGCCCAAATGACCCAATACTTCTGCAACCCAAATTTTGCCCCACGGCCCATAGATAAAAGGAAAAGAAAAAACCTAGTTTTCAGACAATAATCTTCTTTCTTCCTCCCTTATCGCGTCTCCTCCTTCACTCTCACTTCTCTCAAACCTAATCTAGAAGGTTCACTAAAGATTTAGCAACCAATCTGTACTCATTTCATTCTTGTGCTGAAAGATTGCACTTAGCCAAATCCCCCTTCTTCAATCTTGGCAGTTTACACATCGTCAACGATTTGAACCAAAAAACCCCAAATCCATAGCCTACGGATGCTTGGATCTCAATTGCAATACAAAAACAGAGTCGTTCTGTGAGGTTATAAGATCATTCTACAGTATAAAATGACAGAGAAATGCATCCAAACACAAGCCATAGGTAATATATGGTTTTCCCTACCTTTTTTTTTTCATTCTATACGGAAATGTATGTATATTTTGTGTTTTTTTTTTTGGGTGCATGTATAATATATAAATTCCATAGTTGTTAGAGATAGGAATCTATGCTTAAATCTGTATCATAGTTTGAAACTGATCATGTTTGTGTGTGTGTGTGAGAGAGAGAGAGATAACATTGTCTTGTATTTGTATTTTATTTTCTGTGCATTTATATTCTGTAAATTGAAAGGTTGTTAGGGTTAGGATTTTTTTACTCAATCAATAGCCTATTTTGAATCTAACTGCGTGTCCTTTGTTTGTATGCACATTTTTGTTGGCAAAATTCTGTTTTTTCAAAAAAACAAAAAAAAAAATAATTCTATACATCCATATTATGAAAATTACATGTTTGCTATGGGTAGGACTTTGTCAGTCCATCCTTACCCTAATTTAATATTGAGTGTGAAATTTGTTAACATATAATTTTTTCCATTTAAAATTGTTTACATATTCAGTAATTACCAAAAATAAAAAATAAAAATACAACATATACACACAAATTATAAAAGAATTATAATTTCCTTTTATACTCCATATAAGCACACATGCAATATAGGAAAGGGATTCATATCTCAATATCCTGACAATTTTTTATGTTTTTTTTTTTAGCTTTTGAATTGTCTGTCTCAAGTTCTTTTCACATTTCATTCTAAAATACAACATTATCTAAGAAAATAGATAAAAGTCTTATAAAGTACATAATATGCAGATCATTTATAGGAAAAATACAATTCTCATATATTGCAAAAATTGAAAAAATTGCAGTAATCACATCTACCATTTTTTTTTCTCTTGACCTTTTAAATGTATAAGTTTTGTTATCTACCTACTTGGAAAGAATGAAATCTTATGATTCAACCCAATCAACCTGTATTTCAATCTGCCTTCCTGCCACGATCTGTTGCATTTGCAGCAGTACATCAGGCCTTCCTGTGGAATGAGTTTTTTGTTACATGCACCACCCTTGCATGAAACATAGAACCAGTCTGCCAAACTCTCTATTCCTACAATCTTTGCTGCAATCCAATACTCCTCCAGCTGTATTTGTAAAATATTATTTAAGTCCTATTAACAATGTAAAAACATATGTCAATCTAATATTATGTGAACTAAAAAAAACCTTACTTCTTTTCTTTGATAAATCTCTTCAATAGTAGACACAACAATGTCATCACTCACCGAATGTGTAACCGACATAGACAAAGAGAGTCTAGACCCTGAATCTATACTCCTCAATGGTGTGTGATGTTCTGGCTAACTGGAAAAAAACATGAGGCAAAAATAAATAAAATTAAATAGAGTTGTATATCAGTTAACAAAAAGAAAGGTTATTCTAACCTATTCCTAAATGCCTGAAACTCCGGGGAATCGTGGTTGAACAATAACTGTGTGGCATTAAAAGAGCCCGCAATACTTAAATCACCATCTGAAATAAAAATAGGAGCCAAACTCATTAAAAAACCAGAATTGTACACAATCTGATAAATGTTAACATAACTCATTTTAAGCCACAATTCTTTATAAATACTCTTAAATCTGAATTGCTCTTTGTATGTACACAATAATAACATAACTTACTGTCCAAGATCTTGCAGTCTGTACAGTCAAATCAAAACAGCCAAATCTGATAAATGTTAACATAACTCATTTTAAGCCACAAATCTTTATAAATACTCTTAAATCTGAATTGCTCTTTATATGTACACAATAATAACATAACTTACTGTCCAAGATCTTGCAGTCTGCACAGCCAAATCAAAACAATTAGGGACTCATCCATACTACAGTTGTAATATGGGAGAACCTTGTTAACATGCTCACCCTAAACTGTACACTTTAGCTGCCTGTGACTGAAATCACAAATTTGAATACAACACTTTATACAAAATACATTTTCTTTTACAAACCTTTTTACCAAACAAACTAAAAACCCAGTGTATATGAAATTATAGTCTTACCTATCATCCTCAATAAGAAACTCTATCACCCGTGTTTCTTTTCCAGATATAACTTTGTCAAGTGGAGAGTATATCTCCAATAACATCTATAGTTACACAAGAAGAAAACATATTTCAGTTACATGAAGAAAAAATACAGCAGTAAAGAAATGATTGAATAAAAAATACCTATTAGTTCTTTCTTGTCAACTTCTCTTTTGTGTAGCAATGTTTCGAATGGCTTTAAACGAAACATTTGGTTAGGGAATTCCACTATCTTGTACTCCTTCACAGTTGTGTCATGCTTAAACTTTACCATGTAAAGTTTTGTGATTATTTTATACTTTAAGAAGTTTGTAACGACAAGGAAATTCTTTAGGCCATAAACCTTCCTTTCTTTGAAATGATTTTTGTATTTGTCTACATGTTCCTTTGGTATATGAGCATGCACAAATGTTCCTAAACTAAGTGAAAAATATAGTTATTTCCAAAACTATAATATGTTATATACAAATACATTTATTAGATTATGATATAAAAGAAAACTTCATTAAATTTTGCATTACTCACCTCTGCATCATGGAATACACATTCTCTCTCGGCTCTTGATTATACTTTTGCATTTAGCTTCACATACTTCATACGTATGAACTAACCTCACTTCATGACTTTCCTTGTCTGAGCAGGGTGGAGTTGAGAAGCAAGAACAAATTGTCCTGCCATGAGAGCTGCTGCTAAATTCAATTGCCCAAGAAGTTGAATTGTATTTATGTTGTGTTTACCATGTAACCTTGGCTATATATATACACAAAGGAGTGTAGAATCAAGTAGTACACTAATAGGGTAAGAGGGTAAGTAAGACACTAATAGCTTTGAAAGACTTTTCTCCAAAACCATACGGCACATTCAGAGCAAAAAACGCTGACATGCCTCGAAAATAGGAATAGTTTCTAAAATATTACACGCAACTTTTGCGAGATGGCAGAACTGGAATAGTTTCTAACAATTACCTAAAACGCTGCGTTTTCAATTCCTTGGGCAGGCAGTAATGTATCTTGTATCCTTTAGAAGTGTTTTCTCTCTTATAATATGACATAACTTTAAAAACACATTTGGATACATTTTGTATACCTGTCGAAAGTTATCAGAATCTTCAGCCAATACGTTTTGTATGTAAGTGTATCCACGTGAAGTAATCGGTTATCCAGCTAGTGGATGTTCAATTCGTTCACCATTATTATCAATAATAACCTCTTTTAATACTTGTAAAATCATAGAAATTATTTCTGATAAACGTTGAATGATTTCATAAAACTCTACTTCTTCAATTTCTTCATCTACTTGTTCTTCCTCCACATCAACCATCTCAAAGTCGTCATTGCTATCAATGCTAGAGCTTGACATTATATATCAATCACCTAAATGGTATTAAATAGTACCTACAAACAAAACTATTTATGAGAAACAATAAAAAATATTTTTTTAAAAAAAAAAAGTAAAGAAAAGAATTTATAGTAAAAAAAAATAGTAATACTAACAAGAATTCTATCAAACTTCTTGTAAAAAATCTAACACAAATATTGTTAATGCATGGAACAAAATTTATGAAACTAATAATACTACTAATAATAATAATACTATGAACTCTCATTTGGACAATTTGAACATTATCCACTTATAGCGATCTTGGGGTGACATATTTATAAATGTATCTTTCTTTGATTTCGTGTTCAGTCATTCCAAAACCTTGAAACAAGTATCACTATCCAAGTCCGGGAGTTCCTTAATAGCATCCCAACAACCATTTTCTTTTTCCCTTTTTTGCACCAAAATATGGATATCAGCCGCAATCGAATCAAGAGTATTAGATAATTTATCTAACACATTAGATCGATTTGTTTCCTCTGTTGAACTACTATTTCCTTCATATTCAGTTCTATTCCTTTTTCTCTTATAATACTTTGTTGAAGTTGCTTCCACATTTATCTCTTGAGGTGCTGATGAAGTATATTGTGATAATCGTGGATCTTAAGAATCTACTTGTATTTCATTGTGATAATCGTGTATTTCATTGCTAAATCCATCGTTAGCAAAATCAAAGTGTAGTTGATCAATTCTACACTGATTATCTTCTTCAACACTATAGATTCTTGCATCAGTTTCATCACCCAATCCGACAGAGTTTTTTCCTACCGCAGTACTACTTCCAAATACAAATGCTAAATCGTCATAGTCAGCAATCGTATCTGTCCGTAGATTTTTATGAGTAGGATGAGACTAGAAAAGAAAAATAAAATAATTAATGAATTATTTAAAATATAAAATTTAAGAAACATCTATGTTAATTAAACGATATAAAAATCTCACCTTAAAATAATCTTCCCACACCTCATCACTCAATAAACCTCTTTGTGATTGGATCCCAACCAAATCCAGAATTATGACGCAAAAAAGCTCAGAAAAATTGTTAAAACGATGCTTGAACCATTTCAATCTGCTTTGGTATTGTGCATACGATCTTTGACAACCAAGCTTTTCATTAAGAGCCGGAAGTATCCTCTTCTCCACAGTTAACTTGCTTAAACCCCCACTACTATCACGCCATCCATTTTTTATGGCATCAACCATAAGTTGTAACAACTCATTACTCTCCTCAGGTGCCCATAATGCATAATTTCGATTAACTTTACTTTTACCTTTACTCCTTTCTTGATCCCATTACTATAAAATAAATAAGAACCTCAAAAAATCCAACTTAACACAAATACAAATATTAATAATTAATAAACATATAATAACATAAAATTATATTAATTATATAAAAAAATTATAATTAATTCTATTTATTAAAACAAAAATTATAGAATATTTATGCTGCGAACAGCAGCAAGCAAATTTGCTGCGAACAAGAAATTCTTGCTGCTGTTCACAGCAAACACAAAAATGCATAAATATAAAGAAAAAAAAAATTACAACGTATAATATTATGAAAGTTTGAAACGTACCAAAAATTGATGAAAAATTTGTCTGGTTTAGATAGAGGAAAAAAAGTCTGTAGAGAAAATTGAAAAGTTTGGGGTTGGAGGGTGGGATTTTATCTATTTATATTAATGAAGAAAAAGTCTACAGAAATCCTATTCTGATAGAGTCTATGAAAGTTGATAAATATTTGAATACCGATAGTCTATGAAAGTTGATAAATATTTGAATACCAGTAGACTTTTAAAGACTATAAAAGTCTGAAACGAATATCAGTATACTTTTAAAGACTTCTGAAAAGTCTGAATCGGTATGATACTTTTAAAGACTTCTGAAAGAATCGAATACCGATAGACTTTTAAAGAGTCTTTAAAAGTCTAAATTGAATACCACCAAACTTTAAAAGTCATTAAAACTCTTTAAAAGTCTGGATTGAATACACCCCCCTAAGTTTGAATCTCTCCTTCTCACCATCCCTAGGTTGCCTAAGTGCCAACTAAGCCGCCTAAGTGCCAACTAAGCCCCCTAGGCACCAACTAGGCCCTCCTAGACACTGACTAGGCCAATTAGGCCCTCCTAAACATCGCTAGACAACCGATTAACTATTGTTCCATTATTTTTTAAATGATAAATTATTTCACTCAAAATGACATCATTTTGAACAAAATAATCCTAAATTGTTCAATCTCTATATATTTTTTAATTTAATATTTAATATTTTAGTATTAACTATTAAATTATTAAATAATTTATAATTATCAAATTATCAAATCTTAAAAAAGTAAAAAATAGAATAAAAAACACACAAGCACCTAAGCACCGATTAATCACTCCCCAAGCATTCGATGAACACCTAGCAATTTTTTCAATCATGATACAAGCACAATCATCTTCTAAAAAGCACTCGGTAATTTTTTTGAAAGAAAAATGCAGTTAAAATTTAATAATGTAATAAAAATTGTCATTGTAAAATACTTTATAGTAGTATAGTGTCGTCGATTTTTTTTTTTTTTTAAACACTATACCCGTTTTTAATCTCTTCTTACAAAATTTCAATTTTTTGGGGGAATATATCCCTATTTTTCTTGGTGTAAACAATATATCCCACACTAAGGATGCCATTGATTCAGAAGATTCAAGAATTAATACGATGCTTACCATTGGTACCTTAGTCCTTATCTACTTTAATGATTGAAGATACCATCACTAATCACTAATATAAATAAAAACCTTCTTATATGCTTTAATGGTTAAGATACTATCACTCAAGTTGACTCTAAGGGCATCCTCAATAGTTGGGAATTTTTTCCCAGATTTTTGTGGGCCCTATCATCCACCTCATCATCCACTATCTCACTCAATTACAAAATCTCTTCTTCCTATTAGTTTCAAGTTTTTCACAAACTTTTTGTGGACCCACCATTTTACCCCATATATTTTAATTATTTCTTTATCTATTATTATTTTAAAAATTAAAATGATAAATTTGATAACAATATTATTAATAATAATATTATTGATAATTAAAATTTTTAATTCAATTAATAAATATAAATTTAATAACAATAATATCTTAAAAAATTAAATAACATTATATTAATAATTAAAAAAATAGAAACAATAATGTTACAAAGTTCAATTAAAAAATTAAAAAAACAAAAAACAAAAAACAAAAAACAAAAAACAAAAAGCAAAAAGCTTGACGTTGCCGGATTTTATAATGATTATAAAAAAAAAAAGAACATCAATTTAATAACAAAATTCAACCAAATGAACTTTTAAAAAAATAAACTGGCCATCTTAAAAAAAAAAAAAAAAAAAAAAAAAAAAAAAAAAAAAGGTATGAAATCAGTGGCCAACGGCCAGCTTAAAAAGGGGAGAAAAAAAAAATTCTCAAGTTTCAAGCGTCCGTGCAAAGCCGCAAACTGCGCTGACATCCTTTTTCTTTTTTGTCCTTTCTCCTGCAAAATTTCTAGTTTTGCAGGAGAAAGAACTTCTTCAAATTTTGACATCCCATTTGTTAAAAACCTTGCCCCTAACTTTTCACTGTTCTAAAATCCATCCAAAATATGCTAATGGGGATGCCCTAACTGAAACTGCAACTGCCTATTGACTTTTTGACTTTTTTAATTTGAGTGGTTAGATATCAACAGGGCGGATTTATACACCCAAGAGTTCCCTCGTAGCTCAAAAATTTTAAAAGAAAATTGAAGCATTAAGCTCACGATTAATTTCTAATGGTATGCGGGTTAAAATTCCATTTCGAAGGTTGTAAGTTCAAGCATCAGTGAAGGCATTATTTGTTCTTTGTGTTTTAATAGGTTGATAAAGTATATGAACAACATTGTAATAGAGCCTGTAGTATTCAAAAAAAGTTGAACCATACACCCCATAAAAAAAAAAAAAAAAAAAAAAAAAAAAAAAAAACTGAAACTTGCTCCGGCCAAAAATGAAATATCAATTAAAAATAATTGAATAATTTATCCCAATGACAATCTGAACCTAATCGGAGAGGATTAAATTGAAAAGGCTTAAGTTTTCAATACAAAATTCAAACTTGGCCACAACCATTTGAAATTTGAAACTAGAAAAAAAAAAAATTTGTTTACTCGATTTCAAGTTTAAACCAGTATAAAAAGCAATAATTTAAAAAAAAAATTTCTTGATAAATAGAAGATTAGAGAATGACCCTCGTGGCCTCATTCAATCCGTTAGGACAGCGGCAGCGGCGGCGGCGGCTCCTCCTCCCCAAAAGCCACCACACCGCGACATGAATAGGACCAGAGAAATCGAGGCAAACTGTATTTTCTGCAAACTCAACCACAAAAGCCATAGTTTTATATATTCATTTGATTGGATAGATGTAGGCACCATAGCGAGCCGAGAGCTTACAGAGTAGCAAAGCACTGGCTTTCTGAGATGCCCTTTTCTGATTTGCTGTTAGTTCCTCTCTTCATCGCATCTCCTATAGAGATCGAGACGGAGACTCACTTCCGACGGCCATCGAATTGATGGACTCAAAGGAAGCCCAGAAATTCTCCGCCGGAGGCGGTCTCGAAGAGGAACTGCGCATTAGGGCTTCGCTTACCACCGTATTTATATACTCTTTACATGTCCTTTTTTCTTTTTC